CAGGAATCCTCTGATGACACGGCCATTATTGGAAGTGTGGACACGGGAAGAGGAGTACAGAGGACGGACTGATCTCTTTATGAGGTGGTGTGAGGTGAACCACCTGCAGAAACAGATCCCCACCTTCTCCTGTCTGCATTAGTGGGACTGATGTGGAAATAGTCACATCCTACAAGTATCTGGGAGATCAACTGGATCACAAGCTGGAGTGGTCTGCCGACACGGACGCTGCCTCCACAAAGGCTCTGAGGCTTTACTTTCTACGAAGGCTCAGATCCTTCAGTGTCTGCAGCAGCTGCTCCATATGTTCTATCGGCCTGTTGTTGGCAGCACCATCGTCTTTGCTGTGGCGTGCTGGGGTGCAGGCGTCAAAGCAAAGGACGCAAACAGACTGACCATCAGGAGGGCCGAGGCTGTTGTTGGCATGAAGCTTGCTGTGTGTGTTTGTGTGTTTGTGTGTGTGCTGTATGTTTATGTGATAAATTCCAGCACTGAATGCAAAGCAGACATAACAAGTACAGACAAAGAAGAGAAGAGACGTGAAAAGTGAAGAGAAATAAACTCGTGCAGCCACCAAATAACCATTCCAGAGTGACCTGCAAATAACAAATTATTCCTCACTGAGGTTGATCCACAGGAACCTGAAACCACTGACTCTCTCCACCTCTGTCCCATCAAACTGCTGGGTGTGCCCTCCACCCTGGAGTTCCTGTAGTCCACAATAAGCTTCTTGGTCTTTGTAGCAGGTCAGGTCTCAAATTGTTCATTACAATCCTCTCCGGTCTTACAGTGCACCTGTCCCCAAAGGTGGGAACAAACCAGGTGCTTGTCTCGTACCTGCACAGCCTCAGCTCCATCAGCGACCTGCATTATCAGCTCCTTTGCCCTTTAAATTTTCAACATCCACACCTGAGAGATGCTGAAACACTCAGGGTCACAGCCTCGCACTCTCATCAGCCCATCAGATTTATCAGCCACAACCTCCAACCTCCCTTTCTCCCTGACCTGAGATTGCAAACTGCTCCTCCCTCTGGCCATGTGGTGGTACACCAATCACACACTGTCCCCTCAGCAACTCAGTGTTCCTGTGTTGCAGAAGATGTTAAGTTTTGCCTCCCAGATAATTCAAGCACTTTGTTTTGAAATGAACATTTTTTGTTTTCCTATTTGCAACTTATTTTTTCTCCTTTTCTGTGTTATACAGGGAAGGAGGGAGGAAAAATGTGACGTGCAGAATTAACTTTAACTTTAAATTAACAGGCTTATCTATCTATCTATCTATCTATCTATCTATCTATCTATCTATCTATCTATCTATCTATCTATCTATCTATCTATCTATCTATCTATCTATCTAT